AAATGGCACTGCGCACACCCTTGACTTTATCTATGTACACATCGACCTATGTTCACTTAAAAGTAAAAGAAAATTGAAATTGACAAAAAATCCATTGCTTTTTTACCCTTGTAAAAAGCGGTAACAAGTAAGTGAGCGATTCTGCACTTTACCGAGAATATTTTCAAAGGAAAGGCATCATTCATTCATTATAGAAAATTATGTTTGAACAACCAACGAGATGAATTACAATGCTATTGCGATAACTCGGTAGCGAAAATAGCGATGCAGGAATCCACTTCAGTTATGTTTAGCAATTTTTTTTATATAAATTATAATGAATGATCTGAAATAGTTATTTACTCATATGCTTTCCATTCAGTTATGTTTATCCTTTTTTTATATAAATTATAATAATAAAAATTAGTATTATATGAAATTAACCTTTCATCTAAATTAAAACATCAATCTTAAATAGTTATTTACTATAATACTTCCTTTCTTGACGCCATTATTAGGGTTGCCGCAATTATTTTTGGCAGCATTGGCATTAACAATAGTTTGGCGATTTTTTACGGCCCTCGAAACCGAATAGTACCACTGAGGCTTATGCAGATGAAACTTCGTCTCGTGCACGTGTGTTTCAATGGCATAAGCGGTTTTAAAAGGAAGGGACAGAGCACGCATGTCAAAATCAAAATTCAAGTCAATGTTAATTGTCTTTTTCGACATTAATCGAATTGCAATGATTGAATGGGTTCCCAGTGGTCAGACTGTTAATCAACGCTACTACCTTGAAGTACTAAAAACACTTCGTGAAAAAAAATTAGATAGAAAAAGCCATAGTTGTGGAGTTATGGATGGTTGTTGCACCAGGACAATACACCCACTCCCACGGCCCTATCTGTCAAGCAGTTTCTGACCAGCAAAAACATTACTGCCATGGGGCATCCTCCCTATTCATCTGATTTAGCTCCATGCGACTTTTTTTTATTTCCTAAAGTTAAATCTTGTTTAAAGGGAAGCCATTTTACCTCAATTGAAGAGGGTCAGGCAAAAACGGAGAATCTCTTGGAGGGCCTTCCAAAACCTTCGTTCCAGAACTGTTACCAGCAATGGCAGGCAACACCGAATGTAGAAATGTGTGAATGCTGAAGGGGACTACTTTAAAGGTGGTAATTAGACCAGTCTTTTTTTTTTTTTTTTTTTTTTCCTATCACACCTTAGACATTAAAGTGACTTAGTAAAAGAAGATCAGTTTTTCTCTGGTTTAATTGACAAAAATGATCGTACGAAATGGCTCTGTTAATGTACAGAAAAGTTACCAGAGGGAATCGTGATCGTTGCAAGATTTTGTTACAACGGTAAATTAAAACTGGAGAACGTTTCAAATAAGGCTACAATTTATTTACTGTACTTTCAGCAGATTATTTTAGAACCGATTTTTAAAGAAGAAATTCGAGCCTTATACGGAAAGGACATCAATAAATTTGAGCTTCATATGGACAAAACCTCTAGTCATACGTTTAAATCGCTTATTTAGCAAAGAAAGAATCAAAAAAGGGAATAAAATACATGCTGTTTAATCAAATACATGTAAATTCACCTGATGCTTTTCCTACATAATTTTGGACTTTCAGTTTGTTAAAATGAACCTTAGAAAAAAGGATGTCCACCGATAACATCGCGGCATGCTTTTTTCAGGCTTTAATAACTGTAAATGGATATTCCCATAATGATTTGTGAGCGCAAGATGTAAAGAAGGATAATTTTTACTTTCATATTTTTTTATTAAATATTAATTTTTGCTGAAAATAAGAAGAAACTTAAGCATAGAAATTAATGAACTTATGCACTTAATAGAATTTTAAAATCGACAGTTAACTAACAAAGACCATTAATAAATATTTTTTATAAAGATTTTACAGATAATTTTCATAAAAGTATAATCTATTAAGTTGCATTTAATTTTCTATGCTTAAGTTTCCTTCTTATTTTTTTTCAGGCAAAATTTATTAGTTAATAAAAAATGTGAAAGTAAAAATTATCCTTCCTTACATCACTTGCGCTCACAAATCATTATGGGAAATATCCATTTACAGTTATTAAAGCCTGAAAAAAGCATGTCTGCGATGTTATCGTCATGCGATATTTGTAGATACTTTATTTTTTACCAGGGGGGGGGGGGGGGGGGGGGGGGGGGGGGGGGGGGGGGGGGGGGGGGGGGGGGGGGGGGGGCGATATTTTTCGACGGCGATGTTTTTAAAACTGCGAAGTTTTTGAACCGCTTTATTTTCGCGACGATGTTTTTGTACCACGATGTTTTTAGAGACTGCGATGTTTTCTCTTTGCGATGTTTTCTCCCACGATGTTTTGTACCACGATGTTTTAGAACTGCGATGTTTTCTCTTTGCGATGTTTTCTCCCACGATGTTTTGTAGCACGACGTTTTCGCCTTGCGTTGTTTTCTCCGCGACGATTTCGTCCGCAATGTTTTTGCCGCGATGTTTTCGGATGTAACCGAAAAAAGGTACTTAAGAACACTAAACAAACTTTGGAAAACGACCCGAGAATAGTGCAATAAAACTGACATGACGATGCCAAGAAAAAATTTACTTTTCATGGAAAATTCGAACTGAAACCAAGTATGAAGGCTATTAGATATAGAAGCAAATCGATGCAAGAAATACGTTCTATAGGCAGAAAAATTAATTATAAAATTTATTTCCGTAAGTGCGAATGATCTTCTGCAGTATTCAAATAGGGAACACTTCAAAGAAATGCAACCAAATTAGCTGAAAGTTTTTAAACATAAACGGAATTAAAATTTATGAAAACTGCATGTAATATAAATATCATTAATAGTCCAGAATGTAGTAATTTACATTACAGCTACAGAATTAAATGATATTGTTCAATAAGAGACTGTTTAAAGATTTCTCAAGCACAAGCGGTTTTATAGGGTTTCGTCAGTCTCAGTTGCAGCATGTCTTTCTTAAATCATTAATTAATTTCCAAAAAACAGTAAACATACACTGTATTTCAAGAAGAGAGACGAGTAGAGAAATTCAGGTGTATGTATGCATACGTATGTATATTAAAATCACAGCATGTACTATATTTTTTGAGATATATACCGAGTATATACGCAATATGTACTTGTATATATAACAGATTCAAAAAAGAAAAAAGGAAAAAATTATAGAAATTTTAGCTTTTGTTTGGCGTTTACGTTTTTCTGCACAATTTTGTTTTTCATAGATTTTTCATGGTCTTTGAGGAAAACTATTCATGATCCCATGGAGTGGCACTAATTAAATTCATGTTAACTATATTTACAGTATCTGAATTATTTGCGAAACATTTACATTATTATCTGGTGGGAGACATTTTCCGGGACATATCTAAAACTAGGACTTACTCTGTTACTTAGGGATCCTGTATTAACTACCGCCAAATGTGTTAAATGAATGAAACTGGTTGTGTATTGGTGGCCTTTGTTGTGACCTCAAAATTCAAGTTTATAAAGCTATTTCATAAAACTGAACATATCTAAATGCTACTATTAAATTTATTCATTGCTTTCATCTGTTAATAGTTCTTGAAATTATTACTGGTAACTGAAGTTTTTCTGCTAAAATTTCTAAAAGTAATATATCACCAGGCAGAGTTGACCTTTCACCTACCTTGGATTTTCAAATTAGGTTTGCTCTGAATACAATTATTCAGTCTTATGTCTAAAGAGAATTACAGTATGCTGTGACTAAGATATTCAGTCTTACGTTTACAGAAAATTACAGTATGCAATGACTGCACAATTAGTCTCACGTCTAATCGAACATTACAGTGTGCTGTGACTACGATATTCAGTTTCACGTTTAAAAAATTACATTATGCAGTAATTGTGCAATTAGTCTCATGTCTAAAGAAAATTACAGTATGCTGTGATTATAACATTAGTTTAAGGTTAAAAAAAAACTGCAGAATGCTGTGACTAAGACTTTCACGTCTAAAGAAAATTATAGTATGCTGTGACTAAGATATTCAGTCTCACGTCTAAAGAAAATTACAGATTGCTGTGAAAAAGATATTTAGTCTCACGTCTAAAGGAAATTACAGTATGCTGTGACTAAGATAGTCAGTGTCACGTGTAAAGAAAATTATAGTATGTGGTGACTGTGTTATTAGTCTCACGTCTAACGAACATTAATATATACTGTGACTAAGATATTCAGTTTCCCGTCTAAAGAAAATTACAGTATGCTATGACTAAGGCATTCACTCTGACTTCTAAAGCAAATTACAGAATGCTGTGAATAAGGTACTTAGTCTCACGTCTAAAAAAAAAAAAAACTACAGTATGCTGTGATTAAGATATTCATTCTCACGTGTAAAGAAAAATTACAGTATTCTCTGACTAAAATATTCAGTCTAAAAAAAAAAAAAAAAAAAAATTCTAAAGGGAGTTATACTATGCTGGAATTAAGATTATTTAGATGACAGTAAAGCACTCGAGGGCTATTGCTTAAGGGAAGCTTACCTTCGCCGAGAGCTCTTTAAGGGAAACTGGTTTGCTTTCAAGTTACACATGAGACATTAGGGTATATTACATACCTAGCTGATTTTGTGCGTAAGCGAAATTCAGTTTTGCTATAATGCTTACAATTTCTTCCAAATTATTTAGCAGACAGAGCACTTCTTCAAAGACCAATTAGACAATCAGCCAATCAGACATTTAGCCAATCAGACCAAATAAACATTCATAAAAATGACAAGAATAATTGTCAAAGTAACTTCCTTAAAAATGAAGGAAAACAAACAAAAATAAATAAAACAACAAAAATAAATAAAAGCTATTTTTTGCAACATTTAAATTTGTAAAATAAATCCCGGGATGTATTTTTTAAATTTAACTTATAACATTGTTTATAAAATCATGTTTAGTGTTCTGCAAATAATTTTGATATCAAACTACCTCTTATCATAGACTATTAAAAACTCAAACACGAATTTTGACATACTCTGCGAGGCATCCACACTTGTTGTCCAGTAGAACCATTGCCATATTCATTCGGTTCCTGCAGTTGATGTTCGATGGTGCCTTCAGAAACCTCTGTGGCTTCACTATCTTTCATACATAACTTGAGAAACACATCCTCCAAGGTATAAGCTCCATAATTTTGTATTAAAATCTCGGGATTCTTTTCCGCTAATAGACGACCATCTCTCATTAAACCTACCTAAAGGAAACATGAAATTGGAACTACTTCATTGATACTGTACAGTATGCAAATACTATGTGAATTTCCAAGCATGTAAATTTAAAATGCGGTGGTAATTGCACTGAACCACATTAGATTTGTAGCGTCATTAGAATTTTTGAAGTAGAAAACACGAAAAATGAGCAATGCGCTCACCGGGGCTCGATCCTGGTTCTCTCGAATACGCGCTGAGTGTGCTACTGTTACACTGAGAAGGCATACAGAAAGGAGCGAGGAAATACCTTATAGATTACTGGGTAAAAGTATAGTTTAGGGTATCCCTTGGCGAAACTTGGCGGTACATGGATACCGATTTTGTGCAATTTTTTGATTCGTTATTTTGGCTTGCGAAGCGAAAAAATCGCCGCTACACAAAGCCCAAATAACAAGACAAACAATTACACAAACTCGGTATCCATGTACACATCGACTTATTTTCACTTAAAAAAAAAAAAAAACCCGAATTGCACAAAAATGGCATTGCGCACTCCTTTGGCTTTATCCAAGTACACGTCGACCTATTTTCACTTAAAAAATAATCCCCCTCCCCGAATTGCACAAAAACTGCATTGCGCACTCTTTTAACTTTATCCATGTACACGTGGACCTATTATCAGTTAAAAAAAATCCCAGAATTGCACAAACGTGCATTGCGCACTCCTTTTACTTTGTCCATGTACAGATCGATATATTTTCACTTAAAAAGTCAAAGGAGCACCAAATTCTACAATATAGGCAAACAAAAAATACATAATGTCAATAAAATACATTTTAAACCAAACAATAAAATAACATAAAAAAGGAAAAACATGTTATACATTTGAGCATTACCAAAAGCAAATATTCACTTACCATGATTTTCGAATTCGCTTCGTACACCCAGAGCCCCGTCAAAATCAAAATGTCAATCCTACTCAAAATGACTTTTTTTCGAACCAGGTACTCTTTCTGATCGAACGCTTCACATAGTGACCATCTGAACCTTTCTTCCTACAAACCCATTCAAATCCATCTAAACGGTTTTAACACACAAACCACAAAAACGCTTTCAAAACATCCCATGATTCAAAATTTCCCAGAATCATGCACCCGATTACGTCACAATAGAGTTTCCATAACATTCAACTACTCAGGCTACCATAAATGAAACAACTTGGCGATAAATCAAACAACAACTTCGCCATAATACAAAGGGTACCACAAAGTCTACTCTACCCGATTACTGTTATTTATGAAAAGAGTTTTTTGAAACAGAAGGTAAAAATAAAAAATATGCCGACTAGCTAGGCTAGATATGTAAAAAAATATCAGCTATCTTGGAATTTTTTTAATATATTAAAATATTTTCTTTGTTATTGCGCAGATTAAACTGCTAAATTTTTACGAAGATAAGTAGTATAATAGAGCACCTGAGAAACATTAGAATTGTATTTTAAAGCTTTTTCAAATTTTGTGGCTTTATTGGACGCAACTCTTAAATAACAAAATTAATTTAAACAGCCCCACTATCAAACATTTCTCTGGTCCATAAGGTTTAAAACAAAGCATGATTCTAAAAACTCCATGGAATTATACCAGGAGATCTAGATGCCACCAGGACATGAACTTTTCTTCCGTCCCAATGTTCTAGAGAAATAACTGCAAGAAAATTGTATAAAGTTATTTTCTCCCTCCTTTCCGAATTCCTTGATAGTGAAATTGGACATGTGTTAGAGAGGTCCAGGGTTCGAGTCCCAGCGAGGGCACTGCATATTTTTCACGTCTCCTGCTTTAAAATCATCATCATCATCATCATCATCATCATCATCATCATAATCATAATAATAATTGGTTGATCTTTACAATATGGTAACTGGTAGTTTGGCGACATTTTGGAGGCGATAAAGGTTACTACCTGGTACTTTGGTAATAATGTGAGCAGTACTCAGTTCCGATTACGCATTATTTTGTGTGAGGGAAATGAGAGATTATGGGATATGTCATGTGATATTAATGGACGAATTACGGTTCTTTAATCGGAAAAGGGGGGAAATCGGGAAAAAATCTGGAAATTCTGTATTTTGGTTTATTCTGTGTTGTGTGAAACAGTGTTCGTGATTTTTGGATCCCATGGGCCGTAACTAAAGAAAAGTTTATCGGACACGTAATCAAGATTCTGAAGAAGATTAGGTAAGTTAGTATTTTTAATTATTTGAGGATATTATTTTATGCATTGTTCTAAATGTAAGGTGCAATTAAAGGAATTTGGTATTATTGGGAAATTGTTATTAGCAATGATTTAGTTTTAAAGTAATTAGGATTGTAAGGTAATTTTTTTATTAATTTAATGTATGTGCTCATTTATATTTTAAGTAGTGTTTTTGAATTTAATTATATTTTAATGAAATGATAGTTATTTTGTGAATTTTATGTTTGTAGGAATTTGGTATACGTTTCAGTTGAAGTAAACGTGCATGGAAATAATTTAAATATCTGACACTAAGTATTTGTAATGGTTGCGGTATGAATTCGTTGGTGACGTGTATAATATAATAGATGATTTAGAGGTAAAAGTTTTTGGATATTTTATTTATTTTATATATGGAAATGTTCATATTTGGAAAGGGTAAATACTTTTTTCGCGATCAGGTAATTTCATATATGGTTCTTTTTACCGGGTTTAAAGATTGAGAAAATTGTCATGTATTTTCGTGAAATTTTTCTAATTTTGAGAAAAAAGCAGTGTACATGGATATAGTGAAGAGTGTGCGCAATCCATTTTTGTGCAATTCTGGGATGTTTTTTTAAGTAAAAAAGTCGGCGTGTACATGGTTTTACGTGTATGTGTTATTTTGAAAAACGCGTAAGGAGTATGGTATTGTGCACTTTTTCCTCCCAATTTTGCAGTGAATATTTGTCATGATTAAGCAGTTTTGTTAATAAAATTTCTAGCATAAGTGTAATTCGGCTAGTAGATTGTTGGAAGAAGTGTTCAGTAGATAAAAGAAAAGAAAACATGTCTTTACTTCGTGAAGACAAATGGCGGCGGGAAAAAAATAGAGGGTTTGCTGTAGGAGAGTTGGTCGCCAAATTTTTTCGCAAAAAACGCCAAGTTACCATAATGTAAAGATCAACCTAATCATCATCATCATCATCATCATCATCAATAATAATAATAATAATAATAATAATAATAATATGATGATGATGATGATGATGATGACTCTACAACAATAATTATTTTATGTCCTGTTAGCAGTTCAGTTCGGACCAATCAAGTTCGGATAAGGAAAATTTTGAGTAATTGAACTGACATACTGATATTTATTATTCCATACTGGGTGCTAGTTCTTATTTGGTATTAGTAAATTTATTTGAATGCAAAGTCATTAAGGATGATAATTAACAACATTGATCTTCCTGCTGTATAAATATGGTTTTTATAAAAATAGAAGATTAGTTACGTTTTTTTTTTTTTTTTTTTAGTCCAAAGGGATTTCAGTCCCGAAGGACTATTGCTTTCGTTTTGCGATTTTGCGTCGGACTCATAAACGTCGGTTCACTTTTCAAACTGTTGCCACAAAATGTTAGAGTCCTGCATTATATTTGAAGAAATTAAATAATGAAAAATCTGCATAAATGATTGTCAATTTCTCGCATTGTGATAAACAATGGTACATAGAGCCATCGATTTGAATGACCGAAATCCTACCTGCGAATATGGGCATCTGAAAATCCCAATTTGGAATTTGTTTTATTATAGATTTTATATTTTGTAAACTTTAACGAATTTTTTATTGACAAACTCAATGCTTTAAAAGCGAGAATGGCAAACGTTTATAGAAAAAAAAAAACTTTTATCTCCAGCTCGCGAGACTGTGTATATCGGAAATTCTAAAGATATGCTTAATTTAACTTATTTTTTGCGATATTGCTCTTGAACTGAATTTTATGGTTTAAGTGCAAAGAACATGATATTTAATAAATAAAGGTAACACTCAAAACGTTAAAAAAACGCCCCTTTGAACGTAATTTAAAATCTGAAAAATTTCAGATTTTTTAAAAAAAAATTTTTTTTATTATGAAATAGAAGCTTGGCATGTTTTGTCTTTCAAAGAAAAAATTTTTTACATTTCATATCGTGAATTCTTTTTAGTAACTTGTAGAGACATTAGGATTTTTAGGAAGCAGGCAAGATGAAAAATTAACAACGCCTTCGCCGGAAATCGAACTGGACCTCTGGAATACCGTCCCAGCGTGCAGAACCACTACACCTCGAAGGCACTCTAGGATCTTATAAACAGAAGTCAAACTAGATCAGCATCTTTCTCTTGCTCTAACAACTTTATAGCTGTTAAAGGCTTCTTTCTATATTTGAAAAGCCTGGGTCATAATCGTAGCAATACCTTAGTGTGTGTGGCCTCTTCATCACTTAAAATTTGTTCTTTGAATCATTTGCAATGACATTTAATAATTCGGTATTTTCGATATTCCCTACAAATTAAATTTTTCTAACCTTCTATGTATAATCTTTCATCTGCATTCTGATAATTATTATAACGTACTTTTTTTTATCGCTTATTGCCGTGTAACAATGCGCTAAAGGAAAAAAAAATAGACTTTCTTTCTAAAGTATTCTAATTTCTTTTATTCAATTTTGAAACTAGAGTTTTTAGATAATTGAATAGCTGGAGTTTGGGTAGTCGGCGTTCTACGTAAATAATACATAAGTGATGACTCAGGTGTTATATACTTTAATATTAGGCTTTGACATGGGATAATTGAACATAAAATTAATGCATCATGTTAACAGACGACATTCGAAGGGCTTTTTTCGAAATGTTTGTTATATTTCTGAATTTATAATGTTTTTCATTGGATTGTTACCACGCTTATATGTAATCACTACAAAAAGTGATAAAAGTTTATTATTATGTGAAATTTATGCAAAAAAAAACACAAAATTTTATAGCGAAATTAGCAAAAACATCTACCATAACTGACAAGAAAATCATGATGACAAATACATATTTTTGACTTTAGATCATGTATGTTAACCATAAGCATATAATTAAGTAGAATAATTGGAAAGTATTGATTCGTTAGTAATATAGGGCCAAATATATTAGTCAACACTCAAAAAATTTAAAAAAAATATGTACACTACTGAAAACAATTATGTAATTTAAATTTATTTATTTTTTTTACTCTTTCTCTACATCATGCATAATAAAGTATAAACTCTATGTGCAAAATTTCAAGTGATTCTATATGGAACTTTTAGAGTTATCATGCTTGATGTGAACATACACTATTAAAAAAAATCTGATGTGTACACCACATGGCTTCCTTGCACGGAATATTAAACTATACACATTTTTCCATGAATTTCATTTAAATTGATTGGATTGAATTAAATTTACTTCGTTGACAGCGCATAAACCACAATAGAATAAATGCACTCTTTAAAATTCACTATATTTGTTTACTATAACGACACTCTGAATTCACAAACTTTATATCATTTGAAGAATTATCGTTGCCACATGTTCTATTCAAATACTATAATAAAGCTAAAACGATGTATGAAAGAAATTAAGCAAACAAAACAGAAAAGGAACAGTTTTTCATAGACGATTTAGTATTTCTCATTTAATTAATTCAACTAATTCTCACTTCGGGACAAGGCAAAAATACATAAAAACTCAAAATACCTGCATTAAAAATTACGAAGTAAATCTTAAACACTTATTTCCTCGAAAAAATTCCAGAAAGGATTAAGCATGATTTAAATTCGCAATAATAATGAAGGTGTTTTATCTGTTGTTGCGAAGCTTAGTCTTCTCTAGATTGGCAACATATCTACTAATTCTGCTGTTTCAAATGTAAACAAATATGTCCGCCATGTTATTTAAAATTAACCGCATTTAAACAGCTTTTAAATTGTTCATAATTGTACAATAATTGCTTCCAGAATTACGAAAGGCATAAAACCTAAACCGGAAGATAAAAAACACATAATTCAATCATTTTTAAAGCAAAAAATGTACAATTTACCAACATATAGGAGTAAAGAAACTGAGATCACTGAGCCGGGTAACAGAGTGGATATATATATAAATATATTTTTATACGTTTAGTGCGGCCGATTGCAACCAAAATACGAGGTGCACATCTACATGTTATAACAGTCCTATATACAAAATTTCAACGTTCTGAGGCTACTCGTTTTTGAGTTATGCGAGATACGTACGTACGTACCTACGTTCGTACAGACGCTACGAAAAATTCTCTTCAGAATTAATTTTAAAGCAGTTTTATAATTTTTTTGGAGGAAAGGTGTCTTTTATTCTGTCCTTACGCACAGATATCAAGCAAAAACATCATTAAATTGCATTCGATAGCGGTCAAAATGGATATTTTCGTTGAAATATGTTGCCTGAAACTTTTCGCGATTACAATACTTCCTTTTTACTTCGTACAAGGAAGTAAAAGATATCAAAAATCGCACTAAAGTTTTCAGATTAGCCTTACATGATTTATTTACACAACTTTTCTCGCTGCCACACGAAAATGAGAAAATACGCATTAAAAATATTTTACCAGGCTCTTGCAGACATGTGGAAATGTTTATTAGTTAAAAAAAAGCATAAAATATCTGAAAACTTTCAGATTTTATTATTACTCCCAAAAGGGCGTCTTTTTAACGTTTTGTGTGCTACCTTTCTTTATTAAATTAATTCGCACTTAAACCATAAAATTCAATTCAACAGAAATATCACAAAATAATTTAAAAAGAGCTACCTTTAGAAATTCTGATACACAGTCTCGCGCGCTGGTGATGAAAACGTTTTCCCCTCCCACCCTGTTGAGTGTTGCCATTGCTCGATTTGAAATCGTTGAGTTTGTTAATCAAAAGTTCGTTAAAGGTTTACAAAATATGAAATAGATAATAAAACAAATTCCAAATTCGGGCTTCCAGATGCTCATACTTGGGTGGAGACCTATGTTATTCAAAATTTGATGTCTCTAGGTACTATTTTTTTTTAAAATGCGAGAAACATACTTGCATTCATGCAGATTCTTCATTATTTAATTTCTTTAACTATAATGCAAAGCCCTAATATTTGGTGGCAACAATCTGAAAAATGAACCGACTTTTATAAAGAACCGACGCAAAATGCCAAAACGAAATTGGGAAAATTGCACCTGTGGTCTAAAACGGGTGAAAATAACATCTTTAATTTGCTCTTTAAACTTTGACTTCCGGTGTGGCAAACAATAATTTCCGGTTTGTCATCTCTCAGAAAAAGTCGTACATCTAAAGAAATGAAAAATTGTTTTTGATACCTAAGAATGCGATGTTTAAAATTATATTTAAAAAATTGAGAATTTTAGCCCAAATCGATCTTTTGAACGAGGTCCCATGTCTATAACTTTTAAATATTTTTCATACAAATTCAAAATAACCCGATTAACGCTGTCACTTTTTCCCTAAAAATACATCTATTCTTCTTTCCACTATGCCAATGCATCCAACAACGCTTCCATAATTTAACAGGGTTTATGTTTTATACTGCACACTGCATTTCAAGTTAGGAATTAAGGCATTTAACTTGTGTGCTGTTGCGGTGTTACTGATAGCACATTTAGCCAGCAATTCAAAGGGTTTTTGCTATATCTTTCTAATACCTTGCTCTGAGATTTTGCTTACAGTCTAAGCGATTAATTGTTTCGCTGATATCTAAACACGATTACATCGGCTTATTTTATATAGTGTGCCATTTTTATCTTCGAAATTTACGCAAACAATGCTGTGAAAAAAAAATTTCTTGTTCCTCGTTTATCTTTTGCTTTGTATTAACTTCTACAATACTTCCCAAGGTCATAGCAATCATTTCCAATTGCTGCTATTATAAGTACAATTACCTTTGTTTCTCATCATTTCCTCAAAGCATAATGCTGATGTTAAGTGGTCCATTATGTAACTAATTACCATGACTGAGTTGTTCTTCTAAAGCATCCAATCTTTTATTCAGTATCTGCTGTTTTGCTGTTGTCGTGACTTATCTCACTTGTCTGAGAGTAACATCAGATCAAATCGAGAAATTTTATTGTGGTTAATAGGCATGCACTGCATAGCTCGTACCTATCGCTAGCCGCCCTATTGGCCGCGACGATACATATTTATCTAGCTTTATCCCTCCCCCCCTGAGGATAGGTCCGAGGATGTTTCACTACCATCAAGTTCTCGACTGTATTTGAAGTGCTCCATGCCTTCTATGGGATTCGTATTCGGGGATAAACCGGAGAAGCTATGGTAGCCGGCTTGGCTGTGACAAGTCAAAATTTATTTTTACTACTTTCATATGGCAAATTATATTATGAGTTCTGTCTATTCGGTTCAGTACCAGCAGGGTTTATATAGCTTTCGACTGGGCACATTCTGGGCTAAACCGGTAAGAATTCGTTTCAGAAAGCTCTCTATCTGTCCATGGCATATCGCCAATTTTGAAGCCAAGTGCGGCAAATGGGCGATTTCTCACCAAATTTGGCAATCCTGCCTTCCTTGCTATTTTATGGCAACCCTAAAACTGATTACCGCCCCTGTACATTTTGTAACAATAATCTACTTAAGCTGGCTCAAGATAACTACGGCGCGTATTTTAAACGTCGGAATTTAAAACATATATAAACTAGACATAGCTAGCGATAATACATAACAGAAAGACGAGGCTGCGAGTTCCAAACTTTCAAAACTTCACCTTAAATACACAAAAATAATTTGCCTGCTGGTGAAGACTACGGATAGAAGTTATAGTAAAGGCTTAAATCATAATAATTAGTTAATTACCATAAAATGCCTAAAAAGTAAAATAATAATTGTATTTACTTATGCTGCACTGCACATTTAAAATGCATTTCTCTATCTCTCATATATTTGGTAGTAAATATTTCTACCGTATTTGGTTAAACCTCAAGAGATTATACAAAAACAAACGATGCCGTACAAATGTGCCGTACGATGTAGTATCCAATACAGTCTCAAAAGCCACACTTTTCGTAAGCCATAAATCTTTGGTTCGAATCAATCTTGTATAATTGGGCTAATGATCTTGATGGCTATAAAAACATAACTGGGTTTATTTGGGTTTCTGTACCTTATCGATCTGAGACTCTTTATTGCTTGCAGGACGTTTTTATTTACGGAGATTTTTCTTTCTTAAATTATCAAAACATTGACCAGAAACCCTATAAGGCACGGATCTACGGGTTTTGAATTAGCGGACACAAAGGCAGGGCTTTATATTTTTCATGGCACAAAACTGAAGAACAGCAAATAGAGAAGAAGATCGGACGCATTCATTTAAACGGTGGAAAACTTTGAATTTTTACATCTTATTGATCCAGTCTAATATTACCCTTGAAAAAGTCGTAATAACTTACTACGTGAGCTTGTCTGGCTTCCTCCACGTAGTGCGTCGTGATTATGATAGTGGTAAAATCCATTACTGCAAGTTTCACCAAGTGGCTCCAGATACTATTACAGAAAGGAATAAAGAAATACCATTTGTTCTTGCAAATTCTCTTTTCAGCATGTGTGACATGTATGCGCATAACAACATAAGCAATACAATATCAAAATGTTAGATTTACCTTCTTCTCAAAAGGGGATCCACACCGACTGTTGGTTCGTCTAATATAACAAGAGGCGGCTTGTGTATAAGAGCAGCAGCGAATGATACCCGTCTTTGCTGGCCACCACTGGAAAGAAGGTTGAATATTTAGAAACGAAAAGCTGCATACATATATTTTACATAAATCATAAATCATAAAGAGGACAGCGCAAAATGTTTACACTGTCTAAAATGAAATTTACTAGTACTTTTTACTTCCTTGTACGAAGTAAAAAGGAAGTATTGTAATCGCGAAAATCTTCAGCTAGCATATTTCAACGAAAATATCCACTTTGACCGCTTTCGAATGCAATTTAACGATGTTTTTGCGTGATATCTGTACGTAAGGACAGAATAAAAGACTCTTTTCCTCCAAAAAAACTAAAAAATTGCTTTAAAATGAAATCTGATACGTTCGTACGTACGTATCTCGCATAACTCAAAAACGAGTAACCTCAGAATGTTGAAATTTTGTATATAAGACTACTATAACATGTAGATGTGCACCTCGTATTTTGGTTTCAATCGACCGCGCCAAACGTATATAAATATATTTATAATATATCCACTCTGTTACCCGGCTCAGTGATCTCAGTTTCTTTACTCTTATATGTTTGTAATTGTACATTTTTTGCTTTAAAAAATGATTGAATTATGTTGTTTTTATCTTCCGGTTAAGGGTTTTATGCCTTTAGTAAATCTGTATGCAATATTTTTAGAATTATCAACAATTTTAAAATTGTTTATGTGCCGCTAAGCCTAATTTGATGGCTGCCATTGCTCTTGTTTACATTTGAAACAGCTGAGTAGCGGATTTGTTGCCAATCTAAAACTTAGCTTCGCAACAACAAAGATAACTCCTTCATTTATTATTTAAATCATGCTTAATCTTTTCTGGAATTTTTTCGATTAAATAAGCGTTTAAGATTTACTTCGTAATTTTTAATACAGATATTTTGAATTTTTATGTATTTTTGCCTTGTCGCGAAGTGAAAACTGAATTAGTTGAATAAGAAGTACTCAATTGTCTGTGAAAAATTGTTTCTTTTTTGTTTTGTTTGCTTAATTTCTTTTATACATAGTTCTAGCTTTATTATAGTATTTGAATAGAACATGTGGCAACGATTAGATAATTCTTTAAATGATATAAATTTTGTGCATTCTGAGTTATAATATGAACGAAATATAATACTGTTAAGTAAACCTAGCGCCAGAGTGTCGCTATGGTAAACAAAGTGAATTTTAAAGAATGCATTTATTCTATCGTGGTTTATGCGCTGTCGGCGAAGTAAATTTAATTCAATCTAATATGTTTAAATAAAATGCAAGAAAAAATGCGTATAATTTAATATTCCGTACATTATTTTTAATTTTACGTTAATCTGATGTGTACACCACAAGGAAGTCATGTGGTATACACATCAGATTTTTTTATATTCCACATTCAATATTATATTCCACTTTGCTCCGTCGCTTCTAATATTCAAACTGATACTACGCTGCGATCCTGATAATTATTTTAAAACTGAAAGTTCGTGCGTTGTTTCCATAGAAGATAGCATTTCATCTTATTTGTTTGTTTCATTTCCATAGATACACCCCAATGTTTTCTTGTAGTCATACTGCACATATAATTTCACTTGCTGAAGAATACCTGGAAAATGCGTCTTTTTTTATCTCTTACATCACGCGCCCTGACTCCTTGCGTTTTGCGTACACTGAAGTACCCTCTGATGTCATGGTACTGATTTGCATATGCATTACCTTTCTAGAGTTGGCGTTTCATAGCATTGGCCGCAAAAAAGTCCTTTTCAACAACTTCATGGTTGTTAAAAAAGTTGAAAAATGAATTTGTTTTAGATATTATAAATTGTAATTAAAATGATTTGTGCAAAGGTGTTGCTAATTCAAAAATTGCCGCGCAGGCGTCGAGGACGCCCCTTTGCTTACTGCCCCACGCGGTTTCCCCCTTCTACTTGCTTAATTGCTCTTAAAGTAGAGTGCAATGAATTAAACCACCGGCGGTACATTTCTTAAGCTAGCTCAATGAAGGTGATTTAAATAATAAAATGTTAATTCACATGTCAAAGATCTCTTTGTACACAACATTTCTCTTTGTACACAACATTGTGTAGATCTTTCCATCAATTTTAAGCTCGCCTTGCAGAGTACCATCCATTATTTTTAATTTTACGTCCGTTCTTTCACAAACTCTTGAACAAGCAACATAAAGTTGACCGTGTCCAAATGCAGCCTCAGGTAAAAAAATGCCAACACGCTTAAGCGTTTGGGCCTGAGTATAGTCATGGCAAAGGCAAGTTTTACAGGAAATTGTCTATGCCTCAATGGAAACAGCAACCCTGTGCCTTGGTAACTTCAGCCCTTTGGCTAGTACAGTTACGCAAGCAACCAATAAACTATCGGTGACAAACAGACACGTAAGCCGCATATAATAAAGATATTTATTTATTTCAATTTATTTGATTTTTCATCGTTGCCGGTTTTTACCGCTTGCATATTTCCGAATTCTATATATATATATATATAAATTGATTTATTAAATATTAAATGCACGTGCTCTTGTATTTTTAATTTTTCCGGCTTAGCTTTCTCCTAACATTCGTCATTCGCTGCACGGGGAATAAAACAATTTACAGTTACGCAAGCAATCAATAAACTATCGGCGAAAAGCACTTAAGCCGCATATATATAAGATATATTAAATTTATAGCGCCTCTTCGTTGATATTTTATGTGATTTGTTGTTTAAAATTATTTAAAAAAAGCAACAATAACATTTATAGTTGTTGATGATAAGGTTATATAAGATTTAAAATTAAGCAAAATTCAAGTCAGAACACAAGATGTAAGAACTAAGAAGCAGCGCAGCGATGTAAGTAGCGAGAAAAAGCATAAAGAGAATACGACGTGTCCAAAATTAAAGTTGGGTTCTGAGTGATTTGAGTTTCAGTTCACAATTTTCCATTAGCTGATAAAAGTTTTGATTTTCGAATCTCAAATCTTTTGAAACCACTATTGACTGAAGCCTTTATGTAAAAGTCTGCGTTATCGGGCTTATATAAGAATCACATCATATGGATTACATTTGAAATGACGCTATTAGAAAGATTTATTAAAAGCAGTTACTATTTCTAGGATAGTTAAGGGAAATACCAAAATTAAAATGGAGAGTTAAGGGACTATTCAAATCAAAATTTGAATTTTGCCCTTACATATTATTTTTCTTACACATTTTTCTTTTTTCTGTCTGTCTCTTTCTTTCTATACGTATGTACAATAACATACAAACATAAATATATTTATCTTCTTTAAGGATGTCTATTGCCCATCAATGTACTTTTGATCTATATGGTTGAACAATATGCGCCAAGTTTTGGCATTTGTTGTAGATTTTGGATGAACAAAATTATATGGATTGATTACTTTGATTACAGCAAACTATCTGCTTAAGGAAATTGCTGCACTCGTGGATGACTTTCTGAGGGAAACTTAACGTTAAACAACGATGAAAATGAGTAATGTTTCTATGCAGCAGGATTTGATCTCAAAAGTTGAACTACCAATGTTTAGAGGTTTTACGCTTCAGCCGCTGATGTGTGTGTTTGGGGGGGGGTAAGCTTTAAACCTAAAAATGTATAAACATAGAAAAAATTCTAAATGCTTATAAAGCGAAACAAGCAATGCGTTACTATCTAAGCAGTGCATCGCAGGCCATCCTGTAAAGTTACCACATTTTCAATATAATATTACAACTTACTTTTTAAGACATGGAATAATTTTTAATTACTTGTTTCATGATGTTACTTGCTTACAGATGTAAAAACTGTTTTGAAAGCTATTGGAATTAAATAAATATCTTGAGGAACGAAAATTGTAACATAAGCTATCCGATTTTTTTAATCACGTTTTTCCATTTTCTATTTACATAATGCTCTTATCTTAGATGCTAAGGTTTGAGAAAATTGATAACACTTTTGAAGAACTGAGTAGCTGATACCGATTTAAATAAAAATAAAAAGAAATTAAGATCGGGATTATGCGTGAGCTCCATAAAAAGAACTTTGGGTTAATCTTTGGATTATGGTTACTTGGTGATTTTTGGGCGAAAATTTGGCGACTAACACTGCTACAGCAACCTGCTAGTTTTTGTATGGACGCCATTTTGTTTTCACGAAGTAAAGGCATTTTTTTTTTTTCCTCAACATTTTTTTCCAACAATCTGCTAGCCGAATTACGCTAATGCTAGAACTTTTACGGAACAAAAGTGCTTAATCATGACGAAGATTAGGTGCGAAATTGGGAGAAAGTGCAGAATCGCAAACTGCTTGCCGCGTTTTTAAGAATTTCACATACACGGTATCCACGTCGGCCTATTTCACTTAAAAAAACATCCCAGAATTGCACAAAAATGGCACTGCGCACACTCGTCTTTATCCATGTACACTGCTAAATTCCTAGCTAGTAACCTTTATCGCCTTACCAAAATGTCGCCAAACTACCTGTTACCATATTCCAAAGATGAGCCGAACTTTGATCTCCATGTAATGCACGAAAGAGGGATCTTCTATATTATTTTAAAGTTGATTATTTAATATATGTAGCCTTAGTATGGGTAACAGTGCGAAAAATTTATATATCGATATCATTCATTAATTGCTTAAAACAAAATCCTGCAGAAATTGGCAGTTTAATAAACCTCCGAGGTTTATTCTATTAGCATTAAAAATACAATAAGAGCTCGACATTGACATCTTTCCTGTTGAAGAATCTCACATAATTTCCTTACTGATATGGATAGCTCAGAATACGATGAAATTTTCTTAAAGTAATCTGCCGCGATTACAGAAGAGTTTTAGTCTTTTATGGAGAAGTTACTATACAGAGAATATGACTATTAGTGGTGTTCAATACTGTTATTTATTTATATTCTCAGAATTACTAATCAATTTCATAGGCGGTCTTGTACAATAAGGTGTTCCCCCCCCATGAGAGATTTCATTATATTTCATAATCTTAGTTTTTAGTTGCTGTTAAAATTTTTCAAAGACGTGATTCACTTTTATAATAC